GCCCAAGCTCGTGGGGGCTCGCCTGCCAATGGCAGGACAAAGTAGAAGCACCGGCAGGTGACAGGTGCTAATCAGCAGGCACCTTCAACCGCACAACCGCACCTCATCAGTTTCCACCCGTCAAACAGGGCCAGTGTGCCTCTGTGGGGGGTGGAAGGGCAGAAAGGAAACAACACAACTGAGTCTCCTCAGCAGTAGGGAGGAGGGGAGAAGAGGTCCAGCCCAGAGCCGAGAGGAGGAGCTCACCTCTCATCGCTTAAGGTTTCAGGGCAGTTTCATTAAAAATTCACCTTCTAGAGACTTGAGTTAAAAAACAGTTTCTAGGCATTGATACCTCCTTCTCGGGGTCTCCACTGCTGCCCCTTAGAATCAAGCAAAACCTCCAGGTTAAAGCCCCCTCAAGCAGGACAACTATCTGTATTTTACTGAGCCATGTTTGGGCCCCACAAGGTGACAGGCTGTGTGTGGACAGTGAGGGACACGGTCCTGTTAGGGCAGCCATGCTTCTCAGGGACTGGAGCTGCTACGCCTCCTAGTAAGAGCCATCCTTCCCTGAGGGGGCGCAACCGGCCTGGCACTGAGCTAAGCTGGTCCCCACCCACCACCTCCCCTCTTCCTCACAACAGCCCCAGCAGGTACTTCACTTTTCAGATGAGGAAACCGAGGCTCCACAAGTCGCACAAACGGCAAGAATCAGAGCTGGGCAGGAACATGGGTGTTTTGACTTCAAGGTGCTAGCATTTCCCTACTATGCTCTTCCTGTAAACTAGAAAGCTTCCCAAGTTAGGGAAGGACGCCTCTCACTCCCCAAAACTCCTTTCCTGTCTAGGAATCTGGAGGCCCTGGGATCCACCACACTGGCTAAAACCCATGATTCCTCTGAGCTAAAGGACACAAGTGGTACAGGGGACAGGCGGGGAACAGTATCTGAGAAGGCCAGATTCCAGCCTGGATCTCACACTAACACACCGCAAGCCTTAGGCAGAGCCCCACTGACTTCAGCCTGGCCTTCCCTTCTCAGCCAGACTCAGCCACCTGCTTTAGGAACACCACAAAGGCCACCTGTGGGTCATAATCTCTGACAAAGGCTGAGATGCACATCCAGACTACCAACCAAGACAGAACGCGGCACATCCACGTGGGGACAGGCAGCACGCTAGACTGATCTGTGAAGTCAGCACCCAAGGGCATGTGACCTGGGATGGCCTTTGACAAGCTAGGGTGCTCTACCCCATGGAGCCTGGGAGAGGATGGAGGAAGAAGAAATGGTGTGAGCACAGGCAGCAGGGCAGGGGCGCGTTAGAAAAACGGAGCTTCCAGTGTGGCCAGAGCCTAGGTGGGGAGCTGGGCAGCTAGGGACCTGGTGTTCTGGGCCGAAAGAGCTTGGAAGCCTTGCTGAGAAGCTTGGCCTGTTCTGGGGACACCATGGGCATCAGATCTATGAAAACAGGAATCCTCAGGGATCGAGGCGAGGTCTCAAAGCAAATTTGGGGCGCACAAGAAGAAACTGAAAGGGGAAGCTGTGAGTTTCGCTCTCAGGTGGTTAGAGGTGACACAGGGACACAAACGGGGACCAGCGAGGGAAGGACACGGTGGAGGGAACAGAGAGGAAGGTTACCAGAGATGCCCAAGGTGTGGGGCGACTGTTGGAGGAGGAGGAGGGGAACACAGTGCCGGGGAAGAGTGGGTGTGAAGGGAATGCTGAATCGGTGCAACCTGTAGCTCCGGAGACCAGAGACAAAGACCTGGAACACGATAAGGTTGTGGGAGGAGAGGCTGGAGGCAGAGCTGGGGAGTTGCGAGAAGCAGCGCCGTCGGCAAATGCACTTTGTGTCCATCAGACCGCCACCAAAAGGGGGAGGAATGAGCGCCCTCGCGGACCAGCCGCGGGGCCGCGAGTTGGGGCAGCGCCCGTGCCCCCCGCGCATCTGCTCCCGCGCGGAGGAAGGCGTGAAGCTCCCACTTGTTGCAAAGTACACCGGTTCCTCGGGGCCACCGGGGTGTCGCTCTGCTGGCCGCGCCGCTGACTGGGGCCCCAGTGGCTTTAATCATTCACCTGCTGGTTACGGATGGCGGCTCCGGAGACCCGATCCCATCCCTCCGCAGAGCGGCCACGGCATCCGGGGAAGGCTGCGCCCCCGCTCCGCCGCCCCGCTTCCTTCCTGGCGCATCCGCCGCTA